TTCTGGGCATTTATTTGAAGGAAACAAAAATACTAATTCAAAAAGACATATGTACCCCTATGTTCATTACAGCATTATTTACAATGGCCAAACTATGGATATGAAAGCAAACTAGGCATCCATCAATAGATGAGTGGATAAAGAAGATATGAATATTACATCTTATTCAGTAATAAAAATAATATTATCCAGCAATGGATAAGAATGTCTCAAATGGCAAAGAATGAAATCTTGCAGTTTGAGACAATATGAATGGACCTAGAGGGTATTATACTAAGTAAAATAAGTCAGAGAAAGAAAAATACCATATGGTTTCACTTACACTCATATGTGGAATCTAGAAAACAAAACAAAGAAACAAAACAAAACACTAACAGCCTTAAAGATACAGAGAACAAACTGATGGTCGTTCAGCTGTGCAGAGAATGCTGGATGGAAGAGGAGTGGAGAATGGGTGAAAAAGGTGAAGGAGATGAAATAAATAAGTCATGAGGATGTAATGTACAGCATAGGGAATACAGTCAATGTCATGATAAGTTTGTATGTTGAGAAATGGTTACTAGACACCATGGTGATCACACTGTAGAGTATAAATCACTCTGTTCTACACTTGAAATGAATATAATATTGTGTGTCAACTACATTTTAATTTTAAAACAATGAAGGGGGAAATGGAATAAAACAGATTTTCTCAGATTATATTCTGACAAATACCCATATATTTTGGGATTATATATTTTTGCCTTTTCAAATTCAAATATGTGTTTTTGGCCTACTTTTTGGATGTTATTGTTTTTTTAAGAGTAGATTTGTTTGTTCAGCTTGATGTTATGATACTCAGTTTCTCTGAAATTAAATGTTAATTGTAAATTTAAATTTATTTAAAATTTAAAAAAGAAGAGTATTATTAATTTCAATTGCCAGTGGGTGAGCAATTTCTTAAAATCTAGATTATTTTGAAGCTTATTGGCCTTACACCCCCTCCCCAGGTGTCTAGAATTGCTGAAATGTAATGTGCTAAGAGCAAGGACAGATTCCCCTTCATGCAGGATGATGTCAGCGTGACTCTCCTCTCGCACAGGAGGATGCCTCTGAATATCTTTTATTCTCTCTCTACCCAGATGATTCTGTAATTATGATCCAAATTCTCTTCCACCCCCAAAATAATGAGCACATTACTGTATTGGGTGTGTGGCAAAATTGCTTAATTGGAGGATATATATATAATGAATAGACATTTAAAAAATGAACTGCTAATGTCATCAATTCTCACTAACTGATTTACGTTTTCCTCTATTTTAATACATATTTAAGTAACATTTATCATCAAGAATTTGTTATTGAAAAAGACTGACACCTGATAAGCACTGAAAGATTTGTACACTGAAAACTACAAAACTTTGATAAAAGAAATTGAAGAAAATACAAATGGTATCCCATGTTCATGAATTACAAGAGTTAATATTGTTAAAATGTCCATACTACCCAAAGCCATCTATAGATTCAATGTAATCTTTATCAAAATTCTATTGGCATTTTTCACAGAATGAATGAATAATTCTACAATTTATTTGGAACCACAAAAGACCCTAATAGACAAAGCAATTCTGAGAAAGAAGGACAAAGCTGGAGGCATCACACTTCCTAATTTCAGTCTATACTACAAAAGTATAGCAATCAAGAGTGTGATACTGGCATAAAAATAGATACATAGCCCAATGGAAAAGACACAAAAGCCAGAAACAAATCCTTGCATATACAGTGAGCTAATATTTGCAAGGGAGTCAGTAATAGCTCAATAGGATAGTCTCTTTAATAAATAATGCTGGGAAAACTGGATCATTACCTGCAGAAAAGTGAAACTGAACTTCTATCTTACACCACTTACAAAAATTCACCTGAAATGTATTAAAGACTTAAACATAAAAACAGAACCCTTAGAACTCCTAGGAAAAAACACAGGGAAAAAGCTCCTTGACTTTGGTTTTGGCAATGGTTTTGTACATGACACCTAAAGCACAAACAACAAATGCAAAATTCAGCAATGGGACTGCATCCAACTACAAGGTTTCTGCACAGAAAGAGAAACAATAAGATAAAAAGGTAACCTACAGAATGGAAGAAAAGATTTTTAAATCATATATCTCATAAATGGTTAGTATCCAAAATATATAAAGAACTAATACAACTCAACAACAAAAACCAAACAATCTGATTTAAAAATATGCAGAGGAACTGAATAGACATGCAAAGGACCAAAAGATACACAAAAAAGTGCTGAAAATCACTGATTACAAGGAAAATGAAAATCAAAATCACAATGAGATATCTCATCTCTAAGAATGGCTGCCATGAAAAAGGCAAGAGAAAACAAGTGTTAGTGAGGGTGTGAACAAAAGGAAACCCTTGTGCACTGTAGATGGGAATGGAATGTAAATTAGAACAGCAACTATGGAAAACAGTATGGAGTTTCCTTGAAATATTTTAGTATATGTGCTGCCGAAGCAAGCACAAGTTTCCTTGAAATATTAAAGTAGAAACATATGATCCAGCAATCCAGCTTCTGGGTATATATCCAAAGGAAATGAAGACAGGATCTTGAAAGGATATCTGCACTCCCATGTTTGTTGCAGCATTATTCCCAATAGTCAAAATATGAAAACAACTTAAGTGTCTTTCAACAGATTAATGAATAAAAAACTGTGGTATGTATATGAGATCTGTCTTGAAAAAGTTCCACCATTGTTAATATAATGAGAATGGTTTGCACGACATTAATGTAACCTGGCAGCCAAGGAGTATGGACTGGAAATCACATGAGTGAACGATGACTTCACTGTACCAGTTAGTAGGGGCTGTACACACTGTTGAGTGAGCATGTGTACTGTGTAGCCGTCACATTCAAAATGAGTGAGTACAGCAACAAATCTGCATCAAATTTTACATTAAGCTTGAATTTAAAAAATTCATGATGAAACTATTCCAATGATTCCAAAGGCAGCAGCTATGGACAACCGGAAGATTGACAGCTTCATCATGACAGTGCACCCACTCATGCACCACATCTCGTGCAGAGTTTTTTGGTGAAACATCAAATCAACCAGGTGACTCAGCCCTGTGATAGCCCAGATTTGGTGCCGTGTGGCTCCTGGCTTTTCCCAAAACTAACATAGCCTTTGAAAAGGAAGAGATTGCAGACTGTTCATGAGATTCAGGACAGTAGGACAGGGCAGCTGATGGTGCTTGGGACAACTGTGTGAGGTCTCAAGGTGTCTACTTTGAGGGGGACCAAGGTGTCATTGTCCTATGTACCATGTTTCTTGTATCTTGTACCTTCTTCATTAAGTGTCTCTGTTTTTCATATTACATGGCCAGATGCCTTCTGAACAGACCTTGTATATATCATGGATTATTATTCAGCCATAAAAAAGAAGGAAGTCCTGCCATTTGCAACAAAATGGATGGACCTTGAGGGTATTATGCTAAATGGAATAAGTCAGACAGAGAAAGACAAATACTGTATGATCTCACTATATGTGGAATCTAAAAAGCCAAATCATAGAAACCATGGGTGGGGGGGCACAGATAGAAGAATTGGGGAGATGTTGGTAAAAGGGTATAAATTTGCAGTTAGAAGATAAATAAATTTTAGAGATCTAATGCACAGCATTGTGATTGTGGTTAATAATACTGTATTACATATTGGGTTGGCCAAACAGTTCATTTGGTTTTTCCTGTATGATGGCTCTAATAGTGTTTAGTTGTCTTTAACTTCATTTGAAAAAATTTTGTTAGACTGTATTGTGGCAGCTGTCATAACAGCATGCATTTAAAAAAACTTATCAAATTGGTGAATTTTTGTATAGCCATTTTAATATTGAAGCTGGAAGAAGATATGTAACATTTTTGGCATATTATGCTTTATTATTTCAAGAACAGTAAAAACACAACTGAAATGCAAAAAAGATTTGTGCAGTGTATGGAGAAGGTGCTGTGACTGACTGAACATGTCAAAGTGGTTTGCAAAGTTTCTTGATACTATTGACACTTTGGCCAAAAAATTCTTTGCTGTGGGGCTTTCTTACACATTGAAAGATGTTTAGCAGCACCCCTGGCCTCTACTCACTAGAAGCCAATAGTGAGAGATAGCTGACATACTCAAAATATCCAAATCAATAAAGTTATTGGTGAAAATGAAAACTGTCTTTTATCTTACAGAAAAAAACTAAACATATTTTTTGGCCAACCCAATGTTGTTATAAGATACTACTAGAGAAGGTTATAAGAGACTACTAGATCTTAAGTGTTCTCATCACAAAAAAGAAATTATTATTATGATACACGGTGGAGATATTAGTTAACACTACTGTGGCAATATGCAATACATAAGTGTATCAAACCAACGTGCTATATATGTTAACTTTACACAGTGTTATAAGTCAATTATATCTCACAAAACAAGACATAAATTAAAGAATTAACCCTGTAATAGAAAATAGAAGGTACTTGGGATTAGACATCATAAAAGGCAGAAGCAATGGTGCCTATGTTTTTAGTGGGTACATTCCTTGTGTGATTAGTAGAAAAATTTTACTTTTATATAAATGCAGAAGAATTCTCTGCTCAAATTTAAAATAATTTTCAAAACAAGTGTGTTTCATTTCTAATAGGCCTTATTTATCACAGTAGATTTCAATTGGTTAGTCTGTGAAATAAAAAGTCTTATTTGGAAAATAATTATGAAACCTAATAAAGCTGACTTTAAACTAGCTCAGTAGAAAAAATAAGGGCCACTGTCCCAGAATGCACTACTCTTCTATTATCCTCAGGGGAGTTCAACCAGCATGGGGTCTCAGCAGTTTTCAAATAAGAATTTGGAAACTTCAATTTTTTTTTTCCAGGGGGATGAATACTTTGCAGGGGGTAGAAGGGAGAGGAAAAGGTGAGGCAGAATGGCAAAGTGAAGTGGAAACTACTATTGAAAGATTAAAAGCAGCCAATTCCAGAAAACATTTTTGTATTTTTATTCCTTAAACAGATGGGAGCATTTCAGTTTTACGTTTAACTTCTGAATCACTTGTTTTCTATGCCCAACTGACTTCACAAAGGAGAGGAAAGAACACTTACTCCCTGTGGCCATGCATTAAGGGACACACTAGAACCCAAGTCTTTGTAATTTCACCTAACACTGTCTTCCTTTGCCTGTGTTGTATAAATTCAAAGTGAAAACATGAAAGATCTGTTTGGAAGGTATGAGTTAGAGCTAGGCTTAGAGGAAGGTCTTACATCCCAAAATTCTTGATGAAATTTTAAATGTTAACATTGTGACAATTTTTTAAATTCCGTCTATCGTCCTCCTCTCTCCAGTACTGCCACACAGATGGACCATGGGTGTTGGAGCCTGTGGAAATAGAGGCAGGGATTATTTTTATAGCTACACCAATAAATATATCTAATAATAAATATAGGCACCAATAAATGTATCTAACAAACATTTCTATAACCAGTTTATTTTAACTTCAGGGTATAGTTTTTTCTACAGTTAGAGAAACTGACCCATCTCTAATGGCCAATCAATGTCAATATGAGGGTTAGAAAAGTTAGGGAACATGGTGAGCTGGAGGGCCTCCTGGAGAAGAAAAACCACACACTCAAGGCAAAGGTCAAACATTCAAATACTTTCAAGGGTCCAGTGGGTAATAGGACTACGTGAACATATGGCAGTAAAATGGTTAGGAAGTGATGTGCTGGCCAGCTGGAGAATGCACAGTCTAATCACATGTTTCAAAACCAATACCACACTGGCTGAATGGAGAGGCTACATTCACTCCACCATGATACCCATTTGGAATCCTCATTTTAAAGCAGTCCTTATTAAAAGGATGAAAAGGAATGGCATTTGTTTGACTGGGGTGAAGATCCCTGAGTTTTACTTCTTTTTGCTTTCACAAAGTAGATATTACAAGCAAATAAAGCTTAGGGAAGGCCAACCCAGTGGATGGACAAGGAGTAACCAGGAACTTATTTGAAGCTTCCCAAAGTCTCCCCACCCCAGTTCTCCTTTCCTCACTGGTTTGCCACATCATCTATGACCTGTCAGTGTCACTAGGCTAAATGCAGTTGTGTTGAGGGAGCCGAGAGAGGGGGAGAGGACATCAAGCTATTATAGTAGTTCCAGGAACACACATGTGAGCTTGGCAGATATGTAGCTGTAATGTAGCTGGCTGCCTACAGCCGGCTCATGAGAAACATAAAAAAGCATCATATATTTGTGCAGCAAAAGTATTTCAAAAGAAATTAAACTCTCTGGCCAGTTAAGAACACTGACAGCATTGGAACATAGGAAATAGCAGATCTGGGAATAAAGGATGGCCAGGTGGCTAGTGGAGGGGAGTAAGTGACACTCAGATAACTAAACTCATGTTAATGACCATCAGTTCTATGCCATGTACTGTGCTTGGTGCTGGGGATACAGAGCTAAATAAGCATGTAAGGCAGACTTGTAGCTATTTACAATATTTCATCAACCCTGTGACTTGCTCTGTTTCATATTTAGACATCTTTGAAATTGATGGCACTTCACAATTTTATTGGCAGTGTTTCTTTTCCCCCTTCTCCAGTGGTGCATAAAATAATTGTGCTAACAACAGAAGAAATATAGTAAATTACTTTGACACATTACTACTGAGTCTGAAGAATAATGGTAAAAATATATTGTATATATAATAGAGAAATATTGAAAACTTTTAGTCAGGGAATAACATGAGATCACTGTATCTGTTCTTCCTTTCCTCTTGCTTGCTCTCTCTCCTCTTATTCAATAAACATTTATGGAGCACATTCTATAAGCCAAGTTCTCTGTTGACCCCTGGGAATTTAATGGTGAAAAGAGACATAATTATTAATCAACTGGATCTAATTGACATTTATAGAATACTTAATCTTCTCAGCTCACAAGGAACATTTGCCAAGATAGACCATATTCTGGACCATAAAATATTCCAGATCAAATTTAAGAGAATAAATATCATACAAAATATGCTTCCAGACCATAATGGAATTACACTAGAAAATAATAACAGAAAGGTAGCTGAAAATCTCAAAATATTTGAAGACCAAATAACATACTTTGAAATAACACGTAAGTCAAAGAAGATGTTTCCAGAGAAATAAAAAAGTATTGGAAAAAATAAAAGTACAAGCTATCGAAATTTGTGGGACAAAGTAAAAGCAGTGCTTAAAAAAATAGGCAAAGGTCTGGCCTCATGGAACTTACAAACTAGCTGAGGAGACTGGCTGAAGATCAAAGAAACAAAATAAAAATTTAAAGACTAAAAAAAATTATAATTAGAGCTGTGTTAAAGAATATAGTGTATGTGACTATTTGTTAAAACGGTCAGAGAAGGTAATGTGCAAGTTGAAATCCAGTTGTTAGGAGGAGAGGAAAGTTTTCCAGGATAAGAGAATAGCATGCATGAGACAGAAAACTACTTAGCATGTCTGTGGAAATGAAAGAAGGTCAATATGGTAAAACCTAGCACAAAGAAGAGAGTTTTGACATGATTTATTAGGGTAGACAGGGGTTAGATTACACAGGGCCTTATAGACCTTAGAAAGTATCAACAGAAGCCATCAGAGTTTTTAATCAGGAAAGTAGGACCTGGTTTGTATGTGGAGATAAAACTCCAGGGCCAGCAAAAGAGGCATTTAGTTACTGGTGCAGGCCTGACTCAAAACTAAGCAGAGGCAGCCACCTGAGTCCCCACACTGGGCTGCCAGTGAAGTGTGTCTGAGGGATCAAATTTCTGGGATAATTCGTGTTCTCAAGTGGGTTTGGCTAAACATCTGAACACTGGGCTTGGGAGTGAATATAGTATGTTAATTCTTTTTTTATCATCACCTGAGGATACTTTTTCATTGCTTTCAGAGAGAGAGAAAGGGAGGAAGGAAGGGAGAGACATGTTGGGGACTGCCCTGCCTGGTCTCAGGAAGCTGTAATCCCCCATGACTTAGGCTGAGTGAAAGACCTCCGGACCAGAAGGCACTAAGGAGACAAAACTTATTTCCCTGGCATGATTGGCAGTCAATGACAGGTAACAATTCTCTAAGAAAGAGAATGAATCTAAGACAGATGCGACCACGTGGGAATGCCCTAAGGGAAGAGATTCACGGGGATATGGATATGAAGGGGTGATCGACATCAACTCCTGCCCCCTCGGCTTTGTCAAAACCTGAGTCCTTGTGAGAAATCCAAGTCTCCTGGCTGCCTTTGTCTTCTCTGTTAACTCAGGCCTGCAGGGGAAGCCCAGACCAGAAACGGCGGACCCCCGGGGTAATCAGGCCTGGGACATAGAATGTGAAAGATCCTGTGAGATCTGTTTGCTGGAGGATGTTATTAATTTGGAATTTAAAGGCACAGACAGGAAACCTTTGGAACCTGTAGTCCTTTCATGTGTTAAAACTCCAATCTCTGCCCAGAATCACAGCAGGGGTTCTGTCTGCACCTTTGTAAGTCACCTACTTCTTTTGATCTTTTCTGCCAGACTGTGAATCCACAAACTAAGTCTGTATTCTCAATAAAAATCTGCTTAGGAATCGATATGGTGCGCTCTCTCCACTAGAGAGAGTGGCCCTTCTGTTCCTATTCCCCCATAGGACCTGGTTGTCTCTGTGTATGTTTTTCTTGTGTTTCGACAAGCATCCGCAGCCGAGATGGATACTGCTGGATGGTATCATCCACAGAGACATATTGTTGTGAGAGAAACATCTAATGGCTGCCTTCCATACATGTCCAGTCTGGGGATCATACACACCTGGACCAAGGATTGAACCCGCAATTTAAGCATGGGCCTGACTGGGAATGGAACCCATCATCTTTCAGTTACAAGACAACACTCCAGCCTACTGAGCCACACCAGCCAGGGCAGCATGATAGTTCTTAAATTTAATGCAGAAGACTGGCAAAGCTTCCTGCAATGATATAGCCATGACAGGTATTGGAACAAAAGACACTAACCTATAGAACATTCTTGCTTAGAACTCATAACAAGTTTGGGCAGGAGCAAAATTTGGTGCCACACTCTGCTTCAAGCTCAGCCTGAATGTCCCCTTCAACTGCTAAGGCTGGTCAAGGTAGGGAAAGAGAAGGAGGTGGCTGCTCACCAACAAAAGCAAAGGTAACCAGCCCAGATGCGTCCATTTCAGCAATCCCAGCCATGGCCTTGTTCTTTTGGGAAGAAATAGAGTTACTACAGTGACACTGACCATATCTGAGCTGGATTTTGGACTCCAGGGTGGGAGAACCCTTCAGTGTGTTCCCAAAGAGCTGGCTGCCAAGGAAAGGGTCTCTCAAAACTCGCTAAACAGGTCTATTAGTCTATCATTGGAGCACATGATGAGAAAGTAACTTGGACCTGATATCACAGCCATAGAGAAACTAGACATGGCATTGTAGAGAATCAGAGGCAAATTATTCCAAGACAGCCAATGAATGAAGGGCCAAGAAATTATGGGGGACATGGACATTTTATTGTACAGTGCAGTCAAGAGAGCCCTCAGGAAATGGTAGTCACAATATTTGATATCTTTAGCAGAGCACTGAGTCAAAGATATGTGATATGCCTCTAAACCAGGTCATAGTACTTTTTAAAAAAGGGAACCCATTGCTTTCAATAACAGAGCTAAGGCATGCTTGAGTTGGAGATAATCTGAAGAAATCAGAGAGGAATCAGACAGTGGAGCCACTTTTGTTCTTCAGAATGTCAGCCTCAGTTGCACCTACAGATCCTATTGCTCTCAGATTAAGCAAGGACATTTGAGCTAAGAGTTAGATGAGCCAAGAGAAGCAGGCTGGAAAAAATCAAGGCAGGTAGAATAACATGCAGTAAGGTTGTGGAGCTGGAAGGAGCATCATGCAATAACAAAATCTAAACAGCTAGTGAGACTGGAGTACAGGGAAGAAAGCAAGAAATGAGAGCCTGGAGGTATGGGTGAACAGGAGAACAGACCATATAACAAGCTTGGGGCTTGTCTAGCTGGGGAGAGAAACAGGGAGAGGGCCTCCTGACTCACACAGCAGCCAGCCACTGTCCTGCTTTCCTTCTTAAGTGGGATACCTCCTAATTTTGGTGGAGGAGAGGGTGGTTAGTGAGAGGAGAAGGGTTCTGAGGATGGGTTGGGATTGTATTTTTCCCCAGTTAAGCCTTAGATGAGACCACAGCCCTGGATGACACTTTCATGGCAGCCTGTGAGACCCTCAGAAGAGGACACAGATAAGCTGTGCCTGGACTCCAGACCCTGAGAAACTGTGAGACAACTGTTTCAAGCTGCTAAAGTAGTTCTGTAGCATGGAAAACTAATATAGTGCTCCGAAGAGGAGCTGTCTTGTCCCCACCTACAGGCAAATCTGAAGTCCTGTATAAGAAATCTTACCTTCTAGTCATACTCCTTCTGAATGTGTTCATCTGGCTGAATCCAGTGTAGTCTCTTTGCTTAAGACCCAATTTTTGTATCTCTGCTTGCTCCTAGTAATAATGACACCATATTTGAACTTTTGCTAGGTTTCTGGGCCACTGTTTTTTATTCTGATTCCCCCCAAGCCTCACCCGTCCCACATTACCCTCCCCACATTCGCTATCACAGTAATTGCTCCATGTGAACCCCTTGCCAAATTATGGCTTGGTGGTTTAGATTTCTGGGCCTCATGCTTGCCCAAGATGGTGGTTTAGACAGGATGGTGGACACCAGATTGAAGACAGGAAAAAATTAGAAGTGAAAATACTAGTTAAGATCTTATAATAGCACAGGAGAGCAGGACCAATAAAATGGCATTGGTCCACTCAAGATAGCCTCAAGTGTATAAAACAAAATGGAGTCACTCATGTCAACCAAGACAGCTGCCAATCAGCCTTGACACTTTGGTTCAAGAGGAGAACTACCTAAGTCAGAACAGACATGTCTGGCAAGGAGAAACGCCTAAGATATCTGCACACATGATCAGAACAGCCATGGGTGCAGAGTGGGACCACCATGGATAGGCTCCGGGGCAAATTCCACAGTTGGCATCAGGGGTGTCAAGACATTTATTGAAAAGACCCAGAAAGGTGGAGCACACTACTTTCAAGGTATAACTGAGACAGGCGCCAGACCACTGCTAAGACTGCCAAGCTCCACACACCAGACTGCTGCTCCTCATCATGCTGATCTCTATTAGCATCAGCCACTGGAGGCTCTGCCCTGCTGAACTGAAGACTCCACCTGCCCTGCTGCCCACCTGGCTCTGGAGATCCTTCCTTGCAGGATGCTGACAACTCCCTTGCTCACTGTGCTGGCTCCTGGGCCTGCAGACTGAGACTCTGGGACTCCGGTTCATTATCCCTCATTGATTGCTGTGTGTGTGTGTGTGTGTGTGTGTGTGTGTGTTGTATTTCACTTAGATTGTTAGAGTGTGAGTAGGATATTAACGTATGTTGATGTTCTACTTTGAGCGAACCTGCATTCAATAAAAGCTGAGTGAATAGGGTAGTTACTCTACATGACCCTTGTCTATTCCTTGGTGCTGGGCTGCTCAGCAGGCAGCTAGCTGAGCAGTTGCCTTACAGGAAAGCTGACTTACAGGAAAGACTATATTATGAACAAATGCTTGAGACACACAGGAGAGATGATTGGAATCCATAGGAATGGAGAGGAAGGGAAAGATTCAAGACACCCTTCCTTTGGAAGTAATATTGACAGGACCTGGTGAAGTTGAGTGGCAAATGAAGGGTCCTAGATAATGATGTCATGTAAGTAGATAACTTGGGTGACTAGGTTGAAAGCAAGATCATAACCATGCCTGGAATAGTCTAACTCTCACCAATCCCTTTTCAACTAAGATGGCACACAAGTGAACCTGCACTAGGAGAGATTTGAAAAGCATGAGCACTTAATCTCTAGAATCTATCCTGGTCCCATCACTAACTTGGCTCTATCCATTCCTACCCACCCATATATCCCACAAGTTATCTAACCTTACAGAGCCTCAGTTTTTCTCCATGGAAATGCTAGTGGTACATAACTTATAGTGTTGTGAGAATTAAGTGATGCTCTTCACATAAAGTGCTAGGCATGGTGCTAGGCACACAGAAATGCTCAAAATATGCCAGTTCATATTGTTAAGATGTGCCCCTCTGGTCCACTCATGCTTTTATCATGAGTGGATTTCTTACTGCTTTGAGATCTCCTTGTTTAACTATAGTAGTCCTCCCTTATCCAAAGAAGATACATTCCAAGACCCTCAATGGATACCTAAAACCATGTATAGCAGCAAATATTGTATATACTATGTTTTTCCTATATATATATATACCTATGATAAAGTTTAATGTGTAACTTGCACATTAAGTGATTAACAAAAACTAATAATAAAATAGAATAATTATAAGAATATTATGTAATAAAAAGTTATATGAATAGTTCTCTCTCTCTCTCTCTCTTTCTCTCTCTCTCCCTCCCTCCCTCCCTAAGTACAACATGGAGACGATGGACAATGGGATGATTTATGTCCCTGGTGGGATGGAGCAGGGCTGCACACGATTTCTTCATGCTACTAAAAATGGCACTCAACTTAAAATGTATAAATTACTTATTTCTGGAATTTTGCATTGAAAATTATTAAACTGCCATTGACTGAGGGTAACCGAAACCACAAAAAACAAAACCATGGATAAGGGGGGACTACTGTATAAATTTCATCTCCTAGTTTTCACTGAGCTCCTAGATTAGACTGGCTTTGACGTTGGCACTCACACAGTTGTTGGACATGACAGCCAGTCCCTAGTCATAGAGAAGGAACCCCTTTGCCCCTTGTCTTTTTCTTCACTTGGAGCTTCCCCTGGGTCCATGGGACTGAATGCCCAGGCCTGCCTTTCTTCTAGGTCTACCAACAGGGGAGAGAGTCAAAAAGGGAAGGCAGAAAGAAAGTATGAGTTTGTGAGGAATAAGGGCAGTTTCTCTTGGAGTCTGTTTATAGAAAGTCCAAGAGAATTTTCCAGAGTAAGTAGTGTTTATACAGATCTAGAGTTCAGTAGAGAAATCAAAGTACAGTTAGTCCCCTGTATGCATGGGTTTCACATCTACAGATTCAACCAACTGCAGATCTGCAGATCAAAATATTTTTTTAAAAATTCCAGAAAGTTAAAAAAACAAAACTTGAATTTCCCATGCACCAAGCACTATGCTGAATCCATGCAAATGAAGTGATGTGTAGGCATACTCTGCTGTAACCTATATGTAAATATAGGTTATAGATTAAATGCAAATACGATACCATTATATTTAAGGGACTTGAGCATCCATAGATTTCAGTATCAACATGGGTCCCTGAGGACACCGAGGGTTGACTGTAAGTTAAGTCAGAGTTATTAATGAGAGTGGTATCTCTAAAGCCAGGGAGGTGGGAGATTGCAAGAACAAAGAGTTTATAAACTACATCAAATACTGCACAAAAACCAACAGCATAAAGAATGAGAAACTAAGGAATCAGCATTTGCTGTTTGCAGTTTTGCAAAAGACATGGCTCCCATTGTTTTTTAAGACAAATTTCAGAATTAGTAGCAGTTTTATAAGACTCACTCTAAAAACCTGTGTGGTCTTACTCGTGGATTATACTATCCTCAGCAGCTTAAGAAAAACTACTGTTTAGATGATAGTAGACTTTTGCAAGAATTTTCCAAGACTCCAATTTCGAATACCACTTGAACACATATTTTCTCTCATAAAATGCAATAAAATGAATTTTAAAACTTTAAGTGACCTCATCAAAATTGTTAATAAAATTCTAGAAATGCAGCTTCAATTTTTTTTTTTTTTTAGATTTTATCACCTGAGAAGATGGCTGTGCCTGTGATCAGGAGCGGAGAACAACAGAACCCAGTTGGGGTGTGCTTTCTGAATGGCTTGGCAGGTCCGCTCCAGGGTCAGGTGGCTCCTTCTGTCTCCTCAGTTCCCACAATTCTAAATCATGCCTCAGCAAAATTACCAGCTATTCAAGTTCTAGACATCCAGTTCACCCCCAAATGCACAAAACTGTGAATATTAAATCCATTACTAATTAAAGTCTATTATATGCTCAGTTTTTTTTGATGATGTCCTGGAAGGTGACACTATCTCCCACAAAATATTAGAATACCGTGCTGAGTGAACACAGTGCTTGGAGAGGTGCATGTCAATCCTGAGAACGCACCCTGAATTAAACCCTCCCTGAAAGTGATTATTTTGTACGTCACACTCCTAATGCCCATCTGATTTGATCCTGTAGTGTTTGAAAAGACAAACCTGGAACGGGTTTTTCTCATTTCAAACTTACAGTGTAAGTGAGTTTTGAGGAAGCTTAAAGCAAGTAAGAAACACACACCTGAGTGTTACCGGTAGGAAAGTTTTTGATTCCTCTCTCTCTTTTTCTGTCACACACATGTGTGCACACACTCACCACTCACCCACGGAGCCATGCATGGGCTCTCTTCCTTCCCTGGTCTCCCAGTCACTTTTCTGGCTCTTCCCCAGGGCCAGAGAAATGTCTGGGGCTCTCCAGACTGCACAGCTGGTGACTGCGGAGTGAAGACTTGGGGACTGTGCTGCAGCAGTGGTCAATGAGAATTTTAAAAAACCGAGTTGTTCCAAGAGGTTGCTTATCTGAAATTGAGTGGCATTACCAATATTACTGAAATCAAGTTGGTGGATTAGAAATGTAGTTCAGGTTTAGACTTCACTGGAATTTAGGTCAACCTCAAACAATATATGGTAAGAAAAAAAATCTCACTTTCCCCGGGGGCCACAAAGGACACCACCTTTCTTCAAGTGACTAGTGGAACTAGTAGGTTATAAAATTGAGACTGTCATGGACCCTTAAAATTGCATGTGACTAATACCCTACTCAATCTAATGATTTTAACCCAAAAGGTAGTATTTATTGGAAAGATGATGGATAGCTCACAAACTGAAGAAATAACTGCAGAAAGGAGGAAGTTCCAATCCCCAAAGGTGGAATCAGAAAATTCTCAAGCTCTGCCTCTCATTTCTTTTTCCCTCGTTCGTCCTGGTTTCACTTTCTTAGGCATTCCTCCAGAGTGGGAACTTGCCCATTAACTCTAGGGCCACATTCTTACAGTGCTGGGAACACAAAGGAAAAGAAAAAGAGAAGAAGAGGCTTCCCTGTCAGCTTCATCCAGAAAACCTTTGGGCAAGGCCTCTTGGTCTGGCTTTGCTCATTGGCCTGGTCACTGTAGCTAGAGAACGGTGGTGCTATGTTCACCCCAGACGGAGATTGAGTCATGTGACTATGCATGTACCAGAAGGAGGATCAGAAGGGGTGCTGACCAGACAAAGAAAGAAAGAGCCCTGAGAGACATTTCAAAGATACCAAATCATAACTTGATGCTTGGCAATGTACTTATGTCACAGAGTTAAATATTCCTCACACACACAAGGGTTCCATGCCTCTCCTCATTTAATCTACAATTGATTATGCAATTATTATTTTTTGCCCATAAAAACATTCAAAATTACTTAAGGCCTGCTCATAATTATTTTATTTCTTCAGCTTTAGTACAGTGTAACATTTGTGGTGGATATTATGGTTGGCTCTCTCAGTACATTGTCCAACCTCTTTTGAGAATTCTTCTCTCCACTGCAGTCTGGAAAGCAAATTCTTTACTTCTCGAACTCCCTTGTTCCTAGGTTTTGGAATGACTTAGGCTTTGCCAAACAGAAGCACTGGTGGGAAACTTGAACTTGGAACTGAGTTAAGTGGAGAAAGAGGCAGGGCTTGGACTATTCGTTTTGTTTGGACAGACTGTAGCATCCATAGCTAGGTCTGGAGCCAGCATCTGTGACAGCATCTGCTCAACTTAGCAGATTGCTTCTGGGTCATGGCAAGAGAAGCAGCTCCGCTGGTGGCCGAGTTCTACATTGTGGCTTTGGGATCTGTTCCTGGAAGCTTCCACTAGCACGTGTTTTTTAAGCCGACCCATTGATTATGTACGTCATTTTAATAGCCTGCAATAAATCCTCTTCTGATTAAATGGCTTGAGTGAATTCTGTTCTCTGTGATTGCATCCTGACTGACAGAACATAGAAATTACTTTTGAAAAATGTCACTGGCCTCTTTATTTTTCTTTGCCATTTTTGTAATTACATGCACACAAAACATAAAGTGAGGTTGGCATTATTTGTTGCATTCAATGAACAGATGAGTTGTTCAGATTGACAATATCAGGTAAACTCTAACATAAATAATTTAGGCTTAGGTCTGGATTTTTAAGAAATTGACATGATTCTTCTAAATGTATTTGTGAGATTGCCTTTAAACAATAAATAGATCCTTACTGAATGTGATATTTTACATTTTTACTAGAACTTATGGATTTCTCTTGTGTGTTATAGATAATTTATATATAACTAAATCATGATATTCCTTTAGATAAATGGGCAATGAGTGTAAACATATAACTCTTAAAAAGAGGAAATAAGGAAAAACATCCAATCAGTGTATCAGTGTGTGCTTTCAGTCTTATTAGTAATGAAAGAAATGCAAATTTCAAAAAAAGACACGTGTTATGGTGATTTACCTCTTAATGAAATGAGCAAAGGGAGATCAGCAGGAATACAGGACGCTGGCTAGAGAGCAGTGGACAGCCCCTCACATACAGAGAAGGGCAGGGAGGGCAGGGCGCTGGGTTCTGTGAGACTGTAAGAACTGGAGACAAGCTCAGGTTACCTTAGGTGGCAGGAATTTATCAAACAGCTGTCTGAGGAGGGAGGAAAAACAGGAAATGTAATCAGTCCTGAAGTCACCCAGCATGCTCTTCAGGGTCCAGCAGTCCCAGTGGTCTGACAGCAACTGTAGTTGCTTGGTAAGAACTTTAGTTGTTCACACAGAACCTGGGATCCAATGCTTCCTCCTCTAGTGTCATGATGGTGACTCAGGACTTTCTAAAGCCTGACTCCAACTGGCTGAATCAAGAAAGGAGTTCATTCGTTCTTGACTGGAAAGTTCAAGGGCAGGGCTTGCTCAGAATAGCTGGATGAGGGCCTCCATTGTTATTTTCTCTGTCTCTGTCTTTCTTTGTCTCCTCTGCTTTCCAATGAATTGACTGAACTTCAGAGCAGGCTCTCCCCATGTGGTATCCCCTGGTGGGTTCATTACCATCTCAAATCCTCAGTTTCCTCATTCTGGAAAAATGGAGCTGTAAGCCACTTATAAGATCCAATGAGACAGAGTATACACATGCTAAATGAAATAAGCCAGGTAGTGAAAGACAAACAGCATATGATCTCACCTATAAGTGGAACCTAATCAACAAAACAAACAAGGGAGCAAAATATAACCAGAGACATTGAAATAAAGAACAAACTGACAGTGACCAGAGGGGAGGTGGCAGAGGGAAGGGGGACTACAGTGGAAAGAAGGGAAAAGATCAAGGAATATGTGTAAGGGACCCATGGACAAGAACAATGATGGGGGATTGAATGTGGGTGGGTGAGCAGGGCAGGGGAGAGCAAAATGGGGGGAAAATGGGGACAACTGTAATTGAACAATAATAATAAAAAAATTTTAAACCCACAATGTTTCAGGGGAATTGTATAGTTGTTATGAGCTCAGTGATTTGCTTTAAAACATTCATTCTTTTAACTTGGCATTTATACCATCTTCCCTAGTTCTGATTATTAATAAAATGATATAGATTTTATTGATAGGACTGTCCTGTGATTTGGCACATAGGGGAAAAAATATCATTCTCTTTACTAAGAATATCAAGAATGAGGGGCATTGCTATTTCTTCATATGTTGACATCTTAGAAACTGATTTCTGGGTTCCTAGGAGCTGGTGGAGGTGTCTCAGGGACAACAGTGTATTGTGGGGAGGTGCTGGGGGGCAGCCAGTAAGGACTGAATGAGCAGGGCTGCCCCGCTTGATCAGAGCAGCCCCACTTGTGTGTTTTCTACATCGTGATTCTAGGTAAGATTTTACATCAGAAAGGAGGGTAGTAATATCAAAATGGCAGCAAAGAGAAGAAATGAGCCAAATGAAGACTGAACTCATTCAGACAGAACAAAATTAAACACCACTTGATCAACTCTGGAATGTGATATTAAGAAATTGGTTAGTTATAGCCCAAAGTTGTTCATGCTTAACTGTCTTAAGCCCAAGGTGGTAGACTCCCTCTCTCTCTTTGTTCACACCTGGGACTAAGGATTCTGGGAAGGCTTGGAAATGGAAGAGCTCAACTGACCCACTAACACTTGTGGCAGACAACATTATTAGCCATTATAGCATGCATAGCTCTGTCCAGTGAAATGTGAGTGGAGGTAATGTGTGTTATTCAGTGCTGAAGTGATGAAAAGCTGATGCCTCATTCTCTGGACTTTCTCTTTTCCTGCCATGGTGATCTAGAAGGTCAAATGATGATGAGCTTCTGTCACCCTGCGTCTCCAGTGGCTGCAGAGGGCACTGGACCCTGCCTACCTACAAGGGCTGTGTACCCTGAGCGAGCAAGAAGGCTTTCTATTCTGAACCTTAGGGTTGCTATGTTACAGTAGCATGACCTAACATCCATGGAGAAGAAATCTGGCAACTCTAGGAAGATTTTTCAGGATGTGAAATTCCAAGGGGCTGGATGGAAATGGATGAAACTAGGACTGTCAAGTGAAATGGGGGTGAAGCGAAGAGGGAGAGCAAGTAAAGAAACAGCTAGCTGAGGAAGCTGTGTGATTTAGTGGAAAAAGCATGCACTTTGGAGTCAAATAGATCTACCTAGTATTCAAATTTAAGTTTCACTTTTTATTTTTTCTTTCCTTTTGACTAGGTTGCCAACCTCTCTGTCTTTCCTTGCCTATAAAACAGAATAACTACACTACATGATTAGTGAAAAGATTAAATTATATACATATGTGCCTATGGTTAGTACTTAGCAGAGACTCTCACAGTTGTTAAGTAATCAATAAACTTAGGGCCCTTTCTGTTAGTTCACTTTCTTCAAATACTATTTCTAAACTTGGTAGTTGCTAAGTTTTGACTTCACAGATTCTACAATGGGAACGCCCTCAAGTGTAAAGTCCTCACTGCAAGGTCTGTGTCCCTTGTATCCCTGCAAGAGCTTTGATATTAGGAGAAAATGCTGCCAAAGCCTCTGTCTTACGGCTTTATTTGTAGTACACTTGGATTCTGAAGAGGGAATCGTGGCCTGTGTAATGGAGTCTAAAGTCTGAGCAAGGGAGAGTTTGTGAGAGAACAGTCTAGAGTCCGGTGGCAGTGTTCTCCTCACTGACTTTTCAGCTCCCTTCTGCCAGGTTCCTTTAAAGCCGCCCCCTGTTCCTGCTCTCTCAGTTGTCATTTATAGCAGCCTTCATTCAGTCTGTTTGGTGCATGCAGCTCCTTCCATCCTGAACTTCAAGAAATATTTTAAATAAGCTGTATTCAAAACTAAAGAGGAGCCATCACATTAAAAAATATGAATATAAAAGCAAAGGGATACATGAGTTAACTGGACAAGAAACTTGCTGCTGAGCAAACCGGGATCACTCACTGACACTGGGAGGCCTTGGAGGCCGCGGCTGCGCGCTGACCCCTTCTGCCCGCACTGTGAAATTACCTGGTCTGAAAGCTCTGTCTCTTCTTGAATGAAGTGAAAAACTTCCCTGGACGCCATCCTGGTTGGACGTGGGGACCGGTGTTAATTTTATACTACCAAGTGTCCTTGACTATGGAGAATATGCAGAACAAAAAATATTTTTCGAAAGTATGCACAAGGCTAGAGAAAAACAGTTGAGATCGACTGTTCCAGTAACTTGAACACCAGTTCCGAAAGTGAAGAGGCTGAGACGGAAGTGAGAGAAGCCTGAGTGTCACGAGAAGATGGTCCCAGGGGTCCTGCAGTACCGCGGCCTCACCAACTGGTAGCACTCGTTCAGTGTGGGCCTTTGTGACTTCATTTACCCTCAGCTGTCTAAAGATGGACGTTTTTCAGGGGAAATTTCATTCAGGCTTAATGTTGTCAGGGAGGGTAGAATGATTATCTGATTTTAAAAAGCAAGGGGGAATGTTTTAATGTGGGGAGCAGCAAATCTTTGGGGCCCAAGACCACCTGGGTAGTCTTGGGGACTACCTCTGTGGGGAAGTTTCAAGGAGCCATCTATATCTCCTTCTTTTCTGAGGCGTCTCCTAGTGGAACCCCTCTCCACCCAGAGCCCAGAGTTCAGCATTTTGCAGCAAAGAGCTGTTCTGCCCATTTGTAGAGACAAGATGATGGACGCCCTTGAGTCCAACCCGGGCGGAGCTCGTCCAGGCTTGGTGAAGTCATCTCCCATCCGGCCTGAGTCTCGGGCCGCGGCAAGTACCTGCTCTGTCCTGGTACCCCAACCGCGGCGGGGCCGATGGTTACTAAGGAGAAACAATACCTCCAAAGACACACGCAGAGGAAATAATTCGTGCTCAGAAACGAGTGCTCCTCTCGCCCCATCCCCCCTTGTACTGCAACCTTTCTGCTCCTCTGACTTGCATTTGTTAAGTCCCCCCTTGGGACCCGCGGTATCCCTCGCGCGACCCCACTCCTGGGTCTCCCCTTTCTCAGCTTCCACATCAATCCGGGGCTCCCTCGCACCCATAGCCAGGTTTCGGGCCCACGAGCCCCTCGCGCAGCCTGCCGCTCCCTAGGCTCTACTTTCACTTTCGCTCTCGAGGCAAAAGCAGGCGGCGGCCGCAGCGCGAGGGTGAGCCGGGACGTGTCCGAGACCCGCAGGTACACGGTGCGGCCCGCGGGGAGGGGGCTGCGCGGCTGGAGAAGGGCTCGATCCCTCCGTCCCCCTCGTGTCTCCCGAGAAGGCCTGAGGGCCTCGGGCGGGGGGAGGAGGCACGCCCGGGTCCTGCGACTGGGCGCGGGGGTAGCCCTGGAGCCTGGGCCGGAGTCTGACGGGAGGGGGCCCGGCCCAGCCCGACCGGGGTCCTTCCCCACTCGGAGAAAGCGAGGGGCGCGGGGCTGGCGCGCCTACTCCGCGTGCTGCCGGCGCTTTGCCGCCGCGGGGCAGGCGGGAGCCTGCGTGCGCGCTCCGCCTCACGCCTGGGCTCCTGCCAGCCCCTCCGTCCTCCCGGGGCCGGAGGGAGAAGTGAGTGGGTGGCGGGGTTAGAGCTACATGGGCACCTTGCGGATAGTGGCCAGAGAAACGAACCTGGCCTTGGCTTTCATACTGGGCTCGGGGGTGGGCGGCTGGGATTTGCGCCTGAAGGTCCCAAGTGTCAATTCTCTCCGAGCTTCTGTACGTCTTACCGCCAACTGTCCTCACTTCGCTCCACCTCTAACCCGGTTCCATTCAGATCCTGCTCTCCTTTTGAGCCAATTCATGTTTCCTGTGCGGGTGCCTCACAGAGTAACTCGCCAGGTGGGACTGCAAGTTAATTTCATGAGGAAGGAGAACAGCAGACGACACTTCCTTACAGTTTTCATAGAGATTCCGTGTGTAGGCCAGGTCCTGAAAGAAACGCTCTCTCAACTTAGCACGTGGTCAACGATTAAAATAACTTTTTAAAATTGGCCAGAGTTGTCTGTTTTCCTAAGGAGTTGGAATTGTACTAATATCTAGCGTATTTGCAGGTAAGCCTGAAAAAAAAAACAACAGAAAAAAATCTAATGCGTTAAGAAAAAAAGTCGAACTAATTAAACATTTTTATTATTTACCTGCAGTGAGAAGTCATTATCAGGGCTTGTTAATTTCTTTGTTCAGAGCACAGGAAAGAAAGTCCATCACCTCTCTAATGATCGATTTCACATTCCATAGTGTCCCAATAAAGGGAAGGGTGAGCTAATCCAGAACCAGCTACCCCAGGCTTACTGTGTGAGCAGGAAAAGGCAGAATCGCCAAAGACAGGCTAAATAAAGTTCCCAAAGTATCTGGAACTCAAACCAAGTGACTGTAAGTAAAGTTAGGTACTCTGTTACTGCTGCACTTTCACTGACCACATTGACTATGAAAGACCAGGTGCCAGAAAAAAATATTTTCTAAAACTCTAAGGGAGTACAGTCAAGTACAGGAAAGTCCTTTAAACCCTTATCCCTGTGCTCTAAATCTGTGTATTCAACTGCCCCCTTTGGATATCACATAGACATCACAAATTAAGCAAACTAAAATGAGAACCTTCGATTCCTCCCCTCCCTTTTAAATCTATTCCACCTCTCGTCTTCTCTGTCTCAGTAAAGGGCACCGATGATCTCTCATGTTCATTCTAGAAACCTGACAGCAATTCTAAGCATCCTTTCCCTTACCCCTCACTTAGGATGATGAATCCATTCATTTCCCAGTGTCTGTGTTTCTCTCCTCTCCCTCACCCCTCTTCCTCCCTTTGCCATCACCACCCCAGTGTGACACACTAGCTTACTTTGTCTAGATTACGTATTAACTGGTCTCGTGGCCTTCATTCTTGCTCCTTTCCAGTCCTCCCTGCTTCACACAGCAACCAGAGTAATTTTCTTAAAGTGTGAATTAGATCCTAAAGCCTCCTAGCTCAAAACCCAGTGGCCTCTCATTGCTCTTAGGCTAGCATCCCAAATCCTTAAGCCTATGAGGCTGTGTAGTGGTCTGGCCCCTGCCCACCTATCCAAGGCACATCTTTCCTGCCGCATTCTGTGTGCTCCAGGTTCACTGGCCTTTATCAGCAGCAGTCTACTTCCTTTAAGCCTGCAGACTGGATTGCTGTCCCCCCTGTCGGGGAAACTCTCCCGCTCTCTCTTTTCTCAGCTAACATGAATTTGTCCTTTAAATCTCAGCTAAAAGTGTCAGATGGCCCCAGTGTAAATTAGTCTTCCCTGTTATTCTCTTTCACTACCTGTGTGTGCTTTTTTGTCAGCTTATTAACCCCTCTCCCCTTTGAGGTCAGGGACCTGTGCTATCTTGCTCTGCTAGTGGTCTGAAAAACCCCTGACATGACATATAATAGGCCCTGAATAAATATTTGTGCAATGAGTGATTGACAATATTTTAACTCATTTAATCTTTATGACTATCTGTGAGAGAAGTGTTCATCTCATATTACACATGAAGAACATGAAACTGGGATTAAGTCACCTGTCCAAGGTCATGCAGTATGTGGCAGAGCAAGACCTCAAAGCCAGGTTTCCTTTTCTGACTGTAAGCTGTATGTATGTGTGTGTATGTATGTACAATCAATATGCCTATAATTATATCTGTATGTATTCTGACATTTAAGCTGTCCGTATTCCATGCTCCATTTTGGTTTCCTGGCATTGCCTCCTTCTCGGGACACAGCCGTGTTCTCTTTGATTCCCTCCCCTCATGGACACAACCCTGTGAAGCCTTTGATATGAGTTCTCACTGCCAACAGCCTTAGCAGCCCATGGGCCTTGCTGTCGGCTCAGAACCATTTGGGATTTTTAGATTTCCTCTCAGCTGTTGGAGAACACTCAGGGACTTCCAGAGTCCTCACATGCCAGAACTTGCACTTTTCACTGTACTCTCTACCATCTTGCGTCACTGGCTAAATGCACTAAGCTACTGCCATCGGAAATTCCAAATGGAAGCCTCACATATGTTCCCTTTACTTCTCCAACTTCAAGGGAAATCCATCGTTCTCCTCCTGCCCTGGGAGGTAGGGACAAGAACGCTTTACCATTTTGGCATTTAACTTTTATTAATTTTCAAATTGCGCCAATCCTTGCATCCTTAATTAGGTTCCTAGCAAAAAAACAAACACCACCCCACCAACAATAACAACCAGAGCTGTTCTTTTTGTTCACATCTCTCTTCTGTCTTACTTGGTAGTGCCTTTTGAACTGGAATTATGGTGTCTCTGTAGTTGACTACCTCTGCTGTGTTGTCCTTTCCATGTAGCCTGCAAATCCACTCCATGGGGAAGGGGAGGTAGGTTCCTCTAACTGTAGCCTCTCAGGTAGGGCTCAAGAGATAAGACCAAGGTTTGGAAAGGATTATCCAGGAGCTTTTCAACCTAGCTCTTCAACAGAATTTCTGGGAAGTTTAAAAAAATTCTGATTGCCTTCACTTCATCACCACAAATCCCAGTTTAATTATTCTAGATAGGGATCTAGTCAAGAGTTATTTTAAAAGTCTCCAAGCCAATGTTAATATGCAACCAGAGTTGAAAACCACTAAATGTAGGGAGAATCCCATGCATCACGATCATTTCAAGGGATCCACATTGCAGCATTACTACTTTTCTCATCTGATCCAAATGTCTGGGTGACAGAGGAGTTGGAAGGAATTAGGGCCAATTACCCCTCCTGCTAAGCACCCATTAGAGAGACATCTTTGTCTAAGACAGAGAAAGAAGTATGCTGGGTTCTCAGAGCCTGGGTTGCCAACTCCCCTGTGATTCCCCAGTCAGGGGACATGACTGGGTTGCCGGCCAGGTCCCCAGTAGGGGGCGCACCAGAGGCAACCACACATTGATGTTTCTCTCCCTCTCTTTCTCCTTCACTTCTGTTCTCTCTAAAACTAAATAAATAAAATCTTTATAATATAATAATCATTCTCCACCAAATTCTCCTGGGGCTCCCTTGGTCCACATCAATTGACTGAACAACCCTCTACTTTCTCCCATTGTGCTTTAGCTCCCGCCCCGGTTTACTCCATCTTCAATGAACACTTAATGCCTCCCTTCATTTCCAAATCTGACCTAATCTTTCAGACCACCCTCAAAAGCTGGTCCTGCAGGAAAGCATCCCAGAGTCCCCGCAGCCAAGCTACTCTCCTTCCTCAGAAACATCATTCCATTCTTCCCCAGCACCCTCTTTTATTATTCTTACAGGGCTCCACACTTTCTGCTGTGTTTCATTATTTGTGTACAAATGTTTCTGCCTTTCCAGGTTTTGAAGTTTTGGGTTGTGGGATTATGTCTTGTGTATTACCATATTCCACACTGTGCTCGGCACATGGCCTTCTACGTAACAGGCATTCAACACATATCTGTTGGGTTGATTGTAAGAGAGAATCCAGGTGACAGGTGTGTTTGTTATACACTATGGTGAAAATCACCATAAACTCTTTAAGTAATTCCTGGATACATAACTATTCAATTAACTTTCAGCATGACAATTTGATACAGATCCAACATTATTAAAGGTTACTGTTCTGGATACTTGCTTTCTTCCTCTTGCTACTCAGTCTCTACATCTTCCTGTGCTTCTTGTGTTTTATAAAGTCTCTGCTTTGTAAGCTTTGTGAGAAAAGGCTTGTCTCTCACTGCAGAAGCTGCAAAGTCCCGATTCTTGCTTTCTCCACCTCCTTGCCTGGTACTGTGGGTACCTCACTTCTGCTCCAACAATTGCAGTTGAAAGTTAGGACTTGGAAGCTGAAACAAGTCACAACTGCAGGGGTAGTGGAGAACTCACTGTAGTGGTAGCTGCTGCTGTGTCAAGCATCTGACCTCCA